ACAGTGAAAGGCAACAGTAATGAAATATAGTCGGGCATTTGGGGAAAACTATGCTTCATTACATCTATGCTTCCAAGATTAAAGGCCTCTTTCAAAAAGGGACTTCCTACACAAAAAAATTCTCTTAAGAAGTCATGTACTGACAAAATAAAACACAATTTTAGTCAAAAAGGAAATAGTGATGACTAAGTATGCAAAGGAAGCTTTTTATATTCTTGTTTCCCCTAATGAAGTAGGGGCATGGGCATGGGGAAGGGGTGGAGGGAATGGTACACGGGGAAAATACCTCAGGTAAGTTTCAAATAGTCTAAAGAGGCTACCAATAGTTCTAGCATTGAGGAAAATGATGGGCAGAACTATTTTAGCGATTTGGGCATTTATTATAAGCATTTACAAGTTAGCAACTAATCCTATTATAAGGCTATATCCACCAAAAACATTTAAGCTGGGGGACTTCTACCACAACTAACTCAATTGCTGTCACCATGGGAGCGCACACTTTAAGAGTACTTCAACATGCTTACGTTTAGAAGTCACCAGCGTTCAAGAACGTGTAGGAAATTTTCGGAAGTAAATAATTTTAACAGCCTTCCCTATACGACAGGTACTACATGTACCTCTGACACAGTTTGCCCTGTTATTAGAATAGACTTTCTCTTCATTTTAGTACTGTATAAATTCCTTTATTCCCAGAATCATTCCCAAGAGCAAAATGTCAAAAAAGCTAAGGGGCGAGGGGGGGGGAAAGACGCTGGATGTCCAAGGCTATAAATGGATACCTTAACATAAGACTATTACGCTCTGTTACAGATCAAGTTAACAAAAGAAGTCTGCACGCAGAGTTAGATTTCTTCTTTACATCGAAATTTCTACAAAATAGGAGAGAATACAATGCAATACACAAGTCCATAAATGCGAGATACAGTACAATTCACACTAATTTACAAATGGTTATTTACACTGTTGTATATACATACACAGTCAGACCTGGTTAATGCAAATTTGGTAAGTCCTTTTGAAATGCAAATCAAGAGGTGTATATGAAGGGATTTAAAATTACGTGAGAAGAGACTAGTTATCATTCAGAAATCTTTAATGCTTAGGTAACTTAAGAAATTAGGCATGGATTAGCCAGATCTGACTGCAGAAATGAGAAGAAAAAAATTCACACTATTCTGCTTTACAAAAGCAACCAGGCCACTATGGTCTATTGACTTGATGCTCTTTATGCAAGAATGCCATTACTAATAATCCTCTTTATATTTACAGTATAGGTTTAACTACAGTAAGAATTATTAATTTTGGCATTCGTGCCCTTAGCTTAACATAAAGGCAACAGATGATCTTCTTGGCAAGTCAGTCAAAACTACTTAAGGATGTTTCTAGAGCTCAGTCATTTCTTTGTCCTCCTTCAAGTATCTTAACACTGCTCTTAAAGAGACCGAGATAAATTAATTGAAACAGGTACATGTTCTCTAGTTCGGTGCTCTAGTACCTAACTTACATTCAGAATGTCCTGTATTCACAGTTTCAAGCTACCTTATAATCTGCAATGCTATTGCAAGCTACTGCTTCAAACTTAACACATCTGTAGATATTCCTTAGCAAGCGAGAATATCCGAGTGCTACTGGCTCAAACGGATGTGGAACAAGGCTCAAGGGAACTGGCATTTCGTTTTGGAAAACGTTTTACAGCATTTCCTCAGAACTTACCAGGAATTGTTTTAACCTGTACTTGTCTTGAAAGACAGCTGATGCAAAGCAGTATTTGAGCATGTAAAATGAATTTCAACATGCAAAATGAAAGCCTCTACCAGTACTGCAAAGACAACCACTGTAACCTGTGACAACCCTTGTGCTTCTTTGAAGTGGCTCAGGAAGAGCTTGCGGTATTTACTATCTGCTTCAAAGTGCTTTTACGGGATTCAGTGGAACTTCACTCCACAAGAATGAGATTGAGCTGCACTCATGAAGAGCTTTGGTTCTGCAGAAGCAAGCTTCCACTCCTACAGTTATTGCTACTTGAGCTATACAAACAAAAATACTACTGAAAAAAATTACACTAACTCCAAATTTAAATAGTACTGGTACCTAAAACGGGAACGTGGATTGCCAACTGTTGGGAAAGTTAGGATCTGTCAAGTGTTGGATTTCCCAAGACCAAGTGAACTTCACAGCCTTTTTCAAATATTTCACAAATACAAAGCAGCACTGCCAGAAATAAAGCCACCACTTGAAGAAAACAGTAGTAAGAGTTCAAAAGTCTTTATCAATCTTACCTGCTTTACAAAAGCAACCAGGCCACTATGGTCTATTGACTTGATGCTCTTTATGCAAGAATGCCATTACTAATAATCCTCTTTATATTTACAGTATAGGTTTAACTACAGTAAGAATTATTAATTTTGGCATTCGTGCCCTTAGCTTAACATAAAGGCAACAGATGATCTTCTTGGCAAGTCAGTCAAAACTACTTAAGGATGTTTCTAGAGCTCAGTCATTTCTTTGTCCTCCTTCAAGTATCTTAACACTGCTCTTAAAGAGACCGAGATAAATTAATTGAAACAGGTACATGTTCTCTAGTTCGGTGCTCTAGTACCTAACTTACATTCAGAATGTCCTGTATTCAGTTTCAAGCTACCTTATAATCTGCAATGCTATTGCAAGCTACTGCTTCAAACTTAACACATCTGTAGATATTCCTTAGCAAGCGAGAATATCCGAGTGCTACTGGCTCAAACGGATGTGGAACAAGGCTCAAGGGAACTGGCATTTCGTTTTGGAAAACGTTTTACAGCATTTCCTCAGAACTTACCAGGAATTGTTTTAACCTGTACTTGTCTTGAAAGACAGCTGATGCAAAGCAGTATTTGAGCATGTAAAATGAATTTCAACATGCAAAATGAAAGCCTCTACCAGTACTGCAAAGACAACCACTGTAACCTGTGACAACCCTTGTGCTTCTTTGAAGTGGCTCAGGAAGAGCTTGCGGTATTTACTATCTGCTTCAAAGTGCTTTTACGGGATTCAGTGGAACTTCACAAGAATGAGATTGAGCTGCACTCATGAAGAGCTTTGGTTCTGCAGAAGCAAGCTTCCACTCCTACAGTTATTGCTACTTGAGCTATACAAACAAAAATACTACTGAAAAAAATTACACTAACTCCAAATTTAAATAGTACTGGTACCTAAAACGGGAACGTGGATTGCCAACTGTTGGGAAAGTTAGGATCTGTCAAGTGTTGGATTTCCCAAGACCAAGTGAACTTCACAGCCTTTTTCAAATATTTCACAAATACAAAGCAGCACTGCCAGAAATAAAGCCACCACTTGAAGAAAACAGTAGTAAGAGTTCAAAAGTCTTTATCAATCTTACTTCCAAGCAGATCTTGCTGAACTTAAAGGGACTACCAAGACAGCAGGGTATTACTCAACATATGTCAATAATGTCAGCAGGGAGAAAGTACAGAAAATTAAAGTCTTCAGTGCTTTCATGAGCTCTAGCAACATCCTTGATAACTGCTACAAGAGGAAAATATGTCTATTTTACCTATTTGTTTCTATTTAACTACCAAGAAAATTTGTCCAGTATAGTAGCCTTCAGCTAACAAATACTAACGAAAATGGTTACCTAATTTCAAGTTACAAAAAATCCCAGTTCTCCCATTTGTATTAGGATTTTTAAGGTTTTGACTGAAGGAAAAAAAAATTGGAAACAGATGAATATAAACAAGTTCAGAGGAAAAAAAAAATCCCAAACCTTGCTTTTGTAAAATAACAGAATGCCATTCAAAATGGTCTTTTGAGGTGAAAGTTTTTCATTCACATCAATTTTCTTTGTCCTGAATCAATCCAAGCTTTTGTAAAGCACGTATGTATATATGTGTTTGTGTATATCCACACACACACAACACAACACTGTGCCATAAAGCAATTCTGAATAAATATCTTTGCTGGAGTCTGTACAACAGACTCCCCGTAATATTTACTCTTCAGGTGAGTTTGTGTTTGCACGTGTATATGCACACACACAGACTTTGTACATGTGGGCACTTATGTGACCAAAGTGCAAAGTTTTTCAGAGTATAGTCAGAGTTGAGTACATGCCTGCCCAACTCCACACTGCATTGTTGGGTTTTATTTTTCTGTTGTGGGTTTCTTCCCCTCCCGCCCCACCCCCCACCCCCCTTTCCAGATTTAAAGCCTCTTTTCCACTCAAACTTATACATTGTTTTGTTAAGTAAACATTTTCTTTTCAATTCACATTTTGTAATCCAGACCATTCTTGGTATAATAGCTTTAAGAAATAAGAAAACGTGTGTGATGATCAAAGCCCCTTTGTTCAAGTCATATGCTTTTCCATATTACCCTTCAAACTGGAGACTTTGAAAAGTAATTTGCTACCACAGAAAAGAAAAAAAAAATGACATACCAGAATCTGCAACTACAGGACCAAGCATTTAAGACTAGAATCCAAGGATAGAAGATGACAAAGCAGAAAGATGTCAACAATACATGAACTGTTAACCTAAGCGTCTTGCTCCCCAGTGCAACAGGGTCTCTGTTCACTACTCTTCAGTTCAATAGGTCCATTCCGCTAGATACTGCTGAAGCGTATCAAATGCAGACACCAGAATAGTGTTTAAATTTAGAATCAAGTTTCAAAAAGCAATATAGATTTGGAATAGTGGTCTTCTGCTTTAAAAGTACACTTAATAAACAAGCAGCTTTCCCACAGAAGTTAGAGATGGCACAATGTCCACCTAACACTATGATGGTACATACCCTCAAAGAATCTGATGGCCACATAACTTTCACATTTCTACAGCTTAACACATCAAGAAGGAAAAATCAAAACATTATTATTTCAGCAAGCTGGTTGATTCTTATCCAAAAGAAAAGTACCATCATATGGAAAGCTACCTTTTTCTTTAAAAGAGAGGGGGGAAAAATAAAGATCACCTTAACCTTCTTCCCTAGTTAGAGCACGCTGGTGATCTCATGAGTCTATTATCGCTCATATTTTGCTTGTATACATCTAAAAGGTTAATATTCTCTGACCGTGTTTTCTTTAATATAAGTTAATGCAACTTCAATAAAATAAGTTGTTAAACAAATCCTTTGGAACAACTTCACTGTCTGCACCCAACTTTTACAAAAAACAGATGAAAGCAGCAATGGAATCATGTTAAACTTGTAATAAATAATTCACATACAACATATGTTAAATTACAAAGAAGGATTAAATTGCCATTTCTACAACTTTTTATAGATTTAGCAAGTTTCTAATCTGTTTTATATCAACAGCAGTACGTATGCTCTTCATAGAAATTTAACATTGAAGGACTGTTTAGAGGCATTATTTATAAAGCAAGAACCACCAAGTGAGCATTACAGAACTTCAACAAATGTTTAGCTTTTTCCAGTATCTGTTCTCAGAAAAGATTCAGGAGTTGTCTATCCACTTGGCAAGCTTCTTCCTCTTCGTTACTCAGGAAGAGTTAATGTCATGACCTCCAGCTTCATTTTGAAATACTGGTTAAACCGAACAATTGCATACCTATTCAAAGGGAGAGAGAGATTTGAAGTTAAGAGCAGCTAACTCCTCACATGAAAACAGCGTGCTAGGTAGGACTAGTCAAAAGTCCACTTGCCCCAGTACCCTCTTTCCAACATTGACCCTTAGCAGCTGCCAAAGGAAGAAGTTAAGAACAGAGCAGCCATATTAAGGTACTTCCTCACCACCACCCCCCGCTCCCAGCTTGCTACAGTTTGCAAAACAGATGCTGTTCCGGGATTATCAAAGGTGTTGTTCTCGTGTTTAATAGTTCTTAACAGACTGTCCAACAACTGACAACTACAATCCAAAGAAATCTGATCTTGATCTTTGCAAGAACAGCATTTTATTTATTCAAAACTGACACGTTTGGGTTCTACCACCTGTGCTTTAACTTGGTTTTTTGTGCCATCTAGTGGTTATTAGCAAGTACTTCTACTTGAGAATAATTAGTCACAAGAAGAAATCCACATTTGTCTCATTTACAAAATGACACAACTAAGCCTAGTAAACTGGCTTAGTCAGTGCAGAAAATTCTGAAGTGGCATCTTTTACCAAGCAAAATGATTAATTTTATCACCTCGCCCAGTCACCAATGGAGAGATGAATTCCTCTGCTTGTTGCCATGAAAGACCATTTTTAAAAATGCCAAAGACACCCATCTACCTGAAACAGAACACCATTGGCCAGCATCTCGGGAAACAGAGCTTAACATTCACTGACATTACAAAGATTCTTTTAAAAAAAGATTAGGAATTTCCAAGATCAACACTCCATGCAATCAGAAGTAAACAAGCTCTTTTGTACAAGAGCCCCGTTTCTTGCTTGACTCTTGCAGTTGGAAACATCAGTCTTGCGTCTGACAGATAGTACACCACACTGACCAACTTGGCTTTTATGTCTTTGTCTCTCCCAACAAAAAACATTCAATGCCCAAAAACATTTACTCCTCTAGGTATGCTCCTTGCCTTGTTATACTATGTGTTTTAGCCCAGGGGCACATACTAATTTAGAGAACTTTCAGCAACAAAAAGCACAGACAGCTTTTACTGTCTTATTTTCTCTTAAAAATTAAGAGTTATAGTATGATCACATTGATCAGGTCTGTTGCTCATATCTCAATTTCTGATAGCTGGGGTGTTGGACCAGATGGCCCCACAGGTCCCTTCCAGCCTCAAGTATTCTATGATTACATGTAGCAAGCACACTTACCCCAGAAAATCAAAGTCAATGGTGGAGTATTTGGCTTGAATTAGAGCCCACAATCCCCAAAAGAAGTGGGAAGCCTGAAAGAAAAAAAAACTTATTAGTGAAAGACTAACATTCTATAAAATCCAACACGTAAACATATTCTCACACCGAGACAAAGTTATCTACAAGAGAACTCTCAAAACCCAATCTTTTTGTAAAGTTATTTGATATCTCTTTACCAAAGAGATTGGTAAACAAGTATTATAGAATTAATTACTGGGAATCAAAGGAGTAAATGCATTGGCATCCTGATTCTCCATGTGTCATTTTCCAAGAAAAATAACACTGCAGTTATAAAATAGGTCATCTATTAAGTAGACTGTTGTACAACTATATACACCATGTTAAAAAAAGGACAGAAATACAACTCTCATTTCTACTGTTGCTAATTAAATTACATTACGCTACACGTATTCAACTCTAGTGCAAATATGAAATTCCTTTTGAATCTTTCATTACAACCCTTAGGCCATTATAACTACAACTCACTTTCACTACTGACTTGGACAGAGATAGGATCTGTAGCTATGTAAGAGAACTTCTAACTCATCAGAATTTACACAAATTTCTCATCTGTTCCAAACTTGCTTCCATTTCAAGTCCAGATAAGTAGTCTGGAGGCCTATGTTCAGTTTCAGATTGAAACTACGGATTACATTAATGATATGATTGTTAGTATACTTCAGATGAACAAATACATGTAATGGCCATGAGCTTCATAGTCTCCTTGTGGAAGACATTTCTGGACCACCCAGGTTACAACTGATATACTTCAGACATCTGTTCAGTAAAGAACTCTTTACAGTAATTACCTAAATTGCTTCCTGAAGCTTGCATGTACGCTTTACCAGAAGTGTAGAAGACGCATGCACACACGCCTGAAAACACCTTGAAATGGCAGCTACTATATCTACATGTGACTCTTTCTTGTACCTCTAGTTTAGATAACTTTGCCTGATAGTGAGCAGTTTGGCATTTTACACTAGCACCCATTAACTTCAGTTCGTACTTTCTCTTAACAAAGCTTCCCACATTAACTGACACAAGAGTGTTTGGCAGTATTTGTGCATCATGTGTGGTCTATAGGCAGGTCTTGAGCTGTTCTCTAAACAGAACTCTATCCTCTTAAACATTAGTATGACCACAGTTTAAAACTGACAAAACAATGCTATATATTTTAAAACAGACCACCAGCCTACTTAATTGCAGATCTAACTTTCCTAAATGAATGGGACAGCTGAATTTAACAGTAACAGTTGATAATACAGATTTTAAAAGAACAACAGCAAACAAGCTGGTATTTAAGGGCTTGTTTAATAATCACCTTCCTAGAACGTGAACTGTATTTCCTCACTTCAACCATTAGCTTTTTGCCAGAAAACTGAAGGTATCACAGTAACAGAGGTGTGCTTGGATTAGTCAGAAAGAGGACTGAAATAAGGCCAAACTGGCTTCTTAACCTTAGTCCTCCTATCAATAGTTCGGCATGTTATCCTTCAGGAGAACGCAAAATAGTTATCTAGCTGTTGCGTAAAAGGCACTTTTGCTGTAACATTTCCTGTTACATCCTCTAGGCAAAACAAGATCAGGGCTAGCTGGAAAACGTTAACAAAAATAATGTGAACCTGTAAAGTATCTTCAGAAATCACACAGATATAAAGCTGGGGGGGGAGGAACACGACACAATGACACACACCTTCAAACTGCTTCTAAGAAAGAGTATACATAATTGGGGCATTCAAGGACTCAATGCCACACCTATTTGACTTCTTATTCTACCTCCATGAATGATGTGGGGTTTTTTCCCTGAAGGACAAGGCACCAAAGCCAGGTGGAATTTTCTGAGGGCAGATCAAAATTGAACACACTCCATCCTTTCAAAGGGAAAG